TAACTCCAGACGCATGAACCGATTTCGACAATTTTGCATTCGTTGGAAAGGTCTCGGGATCCGCAAGGTTTATAGCTAAGAAAATTAATTGTGCATGGCATCGTGCCTTAATGCAAGCTGCTGGAACTTCACGCACCGTAATTAAAAATTCGAGTAATAAAAATAATCAATAACTGTTTTAAATAATTTCAAATAGATTATCTTCTATATATATATAAATAAGTCGGGTTTTCCTGCCTGACGAAATAACTCCAGAACGCATGAACCGATTTCGACAATTTTGCATTCGCTGGAAATTTACTTAGAGAAGTTCAACTAAAAAACACTTCATTTTTGTAATCGAAATAAATTCATTACTGTTGTGTAATAAAATCTAATTTTTCCTTCTCAAATATAAAACAAACAAAATTTTTTTTCATCTTTCTCACGAAACCATCTGGTGGCGAAACGGAGTTCGTTGGGTTTGCTAGTAAGATATAATTATTACCTGTAATTGTAGTAAAATGGCAAGCGTTAGATCTTTATTCATTCTGATGGAATATTTAATAGTAGTTCAGAATGAAATTGTATGGTTTTTGAAAATATGAATTTTATTATTATATTGCATGTATTTTTTAATAAAAATAAGAAATTTTTATTTCGAAAAATTAAGATATTTCACAAAGACAAATACTTAATTAAATAATGGAAAATTTGGTCAAATAGAAAGAAAGAAAGAAAAATTGCTTTGTGATTATAAAGGATTTCAGAAACTTTTGGAAAAATATTGATTGGGAATAGCGTTGTTTAGTTTTTGCTAAGGATCATCCAGGCAGTTTCTACATGATTAAATGCAGAAAGTTTATTTTGACGATTTTCATGGAACTTTGTTTAATATTATAGACCTGTTGAAGCGGTTAAATTATAAAAATTTATGAAGTTTAGAATTTCACAATGAGCTCATTCTATTCTATTCAGATTCTATGCATAAAATTTAAGATTATTCATAATGTTTTCTATAACGACCCTCATTTTGATTTTTTCTTGTTTTAAAATTTCTTATATGTCTACTTTTATCCCTTTTAAATTATAATGTTATAATCTACTAATAGTTGAAATTAGAAATAATAGAATATATGTAGAAGTAGATTTTAGATTTTTTTCTATCGTGAAAGAAAATATTGTATTTGATATATTGACCGGTAAAAAATGCAAGAAAAATTAATGTTTTATTTGAGATTTTAAGTCAATTGCATAATACCTTTTTCTAAAAGTAAATTTACAAGTGAGAAAATGTAATAAAGTTTCTCGAATGACATTGTAGTAGTAGGTACAACTTGTTCATGCTAATTGACTTGAAAATGAAACCCTTTTCAATTAAGAGGATGTTACTCACAATTATACAAATGCACGTGTGTTGATGATTTATTATTTATCACAATGTTGTTTTAGGGATACCCGCTAAAGGTACGGAAAATTGTTATATTATAATTAAAGTTTCTACGTTAATAACGTAGAAACTCGGTTAATTTTTATATTATATATGATATGCGGCTAATGTACTGCAATATTTTCTGGAGAATCATAGAGGTCGTAATAAATTGTGCTATTGAATTTGGATACAGGCTGCCATATGCTTTCTTTAATAAAATTGTAATATCTGAATGTTAGGAAAGGATGTTACCCATACAGAATAGTTATATTTATATTTCAATGTAGTCCCAAGACTTCGGCATTTGCATTTATTCGACGTTCGCAAAACTGAAACCAATCGCGCGGAGAACGCACACCGATGCATAAGAAAGATTACCTATTTCTTAGAATGGGGATTTGAAATGCGTTTGAGTTATATTTGAGGACGATGGTAATTTGAAATATTAGGAGAATTTATTTTGGTATTCTCCCAAAAATCCTGAAAAACGTATGAAGTTCATAATATATGTTGGGTAGGGTAGGGCACAAAGGTCTATTTTGACTTTCACTTTGTATCGTCTAAGGAGGCGTCCATTAATCACGTGAGTAAGGATTTTTCGTCCCCCCCTTCATCTTGGTAATACGTGGTGATATTCAAAATTACCCCTATCTCCCAACAAATATCACGTGTATTTTTAGTTATGTGATAAAACTGTAAAATTTTTGATTTTTTTTTTTGAAAATTTTTGATTTAAAAAAAAAATGAGTCAAAAAATAAATACACGTGATATATTACTATAACACTCCCTTCCCCACGTGATATTTTGTGATTTTTTGTCAAAGCCCCCCCCTCCCCCTAAAGACCTCACGTGATCAATGGACGCCTCCTAAACTAAATGAACCACAGACAATGCATTATACGTATCAAACAAACAACTAATTATAGAAATATTTTTCTTCACTATTTTTCTAAAATTTTCTAAAATTTCTACTATTTGACTGGGTAACATCTGTCACTTTTTACTCCGTAAGGGGAGTGTCCCTTAAGGTATTTTGTGTAATAATAGCTACATTATTCACCAAATGCAAAATACAACGTTCTTGAGCATTTTTTTACAAATATAACACTGTATATAACCTTGTAAACCTTGATATGGTATTTTGTCATAAATATTCATTAGCAGTGTTTAAATAACTATATTTTTTTTTAATTGTTTTTTTAACTTAATATACTTGTGCCCATGAATTTTTGACAGGGTAAAGGTCTTTTTTTCACCCCAACGGATGGGACATATAAAAAAACCTATGGAGGTCATATAAAAATTAGTTGAATCTAATTTGAAAATAACAATTCATCTTATAAAATAATGAAATAAATATACCTAAATATTATATCACCTACGATGCCGTAAACTAAACAACAGTGCTCACAACCCGAAAACTAACAACGATAAAAAACACTGGTGGCCATTTATCTTCTGATAGGGATATAGCCTAATATAAGGCAATAGGTGTTTACACCTTCTTTACATATTTTGTCTTATACTTTCAAATATTGTTGTTAAAATATTCTTAACTTTATTGTTTTTGAAATATTTGTGGTGTTACCTTATTACCCACGGATCTCTAAAACCCATTCTATCCTACCTAAGCATTTGGGGGCGTCCATTAATCACATGAGGTTTTAGGGGATGGGGGAGTTTTGACAAAAAATCTCGAAAAATCAGGTGGGGAAAGGAAGGGGTATAGTAAGATATCGTATTTATTCCGTAGTGTATTTACTTTTCACCTGATTTTTTAAAAAAATCCAAATATTTAAAAAAAATTAAAAAATTTACCTTTCTTTTCGTAACTAAAAATACACGTGATGTTTGGCCGAGGAGGGGGGTGGTAATTTTGAATATCACTATGTATCACCAAAGGAGAGAGGACTTACAAAAATCCTTAGAAAATCGATCATGTGATTAATGGACGCCTCCTTTATCTCCTGACAGCGACGTCGTATAAAATAAGGTGATGATTGGTTACACATATTTTGCCCCCTACTTTAAAATAGTTTCGTAACAAATTCTATACTTTATTCAGTATTAGATTCAAAATGAATATAGATCCGATTTAAATTCTACTAATTAAGCATACACCTAAAATGGTATCAGTTATCAGAATTCGTTTACAATGTACACCTAGAGGAGCTATTATTATGACGCGGACCATCAATCTCGCGACGAGGGACGTCAACAAACTAACTCATTATTCCGCCTTCCGTTCTATGCGAGTTTTAGGAAAGGTGAAGGAACACTTCAACTTCTCGCAATAATGGAAAGGAAATGTAATCCTCACACTACGACACTTTCTATCGTCGACGTTCTCCAATCCACCTCCTATCCACGCCAACATCCAAACGTTGAGGATAGCAAGAATTTTGTCACGTGGAATTGGTATAAAAATAATTTTGAACTAACGATAATAAAAAATTGGCAAAATTGGGCAATCTTAGTTAGTGAACAAACCTTTTTTGTACTTCAAAAATATAAATGCATTCCAGACTAGGTTTTTTGACTTGGTATGTTGGACTTATTATAACTAAAAAGTTTAGTAAACTATCTATTAATTAGTTGCTTTTTTATAAAATCATATCAAAAGGGTATCAGAAATTATACTGATTCACCACATATATCACGTATCAAGTAAACAATTATCGAACCATTTTCAGTTAAATTTCCATTTAGTTCTATTATAGAATTATGTATTTCACTATTTTTCTAAAATTTGTCATCTGATTTCATCGGCAAACAGATTTTTGGCTTTACAATAACTGAATTGTAGGTTTGATACCCCCTCGGCCAGCCTAATATCAAGCCGTAGTGATATTGGTTTTAACTTGAAAATATAGAGCTAAACTAACTTATTGCTTGGGTGGAGTGACTAGGGCGGATGCAGAGCACGCCATTATGATGTGCAAAAAATGGGAAAAGGATAGTCAAAAACTATGGAGGGAGATAGTAAGGCAAAAAAGCTCCCTCCCAACCAATTTTATAACATTGTTGACAAATAAAATGATATATGGTGCACTATATAATTATATACAATCTGATAAAATAAAATCGTAAAGATAACTTACAAAATGTATATGACTAATGTACGTGTATACAAAGTCAACAAATAAACAATAAAAAAATTATTCTACAACAAAAACGCATCTCTAAAAAACGACGTTTGTTCTCTTTAAAGAGAAATTTGAAGTTGGATTGCCGTTCAAAAATAAGAAAAAAATATTCAAAAGTTTTGATTTAGGTACTATGATATTTTAATTTTAATTTTAATGATACTATGATAATTTAATTTCAACCCTTTTGTGGTATTCGTCTACTCACAATCAATTGGTATTTGATACCAATTTTTCTACTTATAAATGCTGTGAATTTCTACCTACTCTTATACATAATAACATAATTTTAAAAATTATTTCAGATTCATGAATATATATAACTTAATTATCTTAAACCCTTCATGTTTCACAGAAAATTGTAATGGATAATCGCTACTCAAGCCACGCAACGAATAAACAACAAGTATGAAATTCATCTGAGTGGAAATTGTGTACGAAAATGCAAAGTTTCAAACAAGGAAGTCACTGTGACAACGATAATTCAAATCACTTCAAGATTGCTTCTTCGAGGCTCAAAAAACGATGTTTGTTTCTGCTAATTTTGGGACTTATGGTTATGATTATTTTCAATATGGCTCTCATACTTTGGATTATTAGTGTCATGGATTTTTCAACGGTAATATGAATATAATCTTAATAAAATTAACTATGTATTTACAAATTCAGCTGATCCAATGTTATTGTTTCTACAATATATTTTACTATTTCTATCAAATAAAATTTTTATAATGATAATTATGTATATCTAAATTAAATGATACTCAATATTGTACACATTTGCTAATACCAACCATAAAGTTGAATCCAATGATGTCTTAAAAAATCATATAATTAATTTTTAATAATTTACTTGTAATAATTAATTTTAAATAATTGCTTGTATATTGGGTATGTATAATTTTAGACTAGTATGGGCAGTTTGCGATTTGTACCAGGAGGCTTGCAGCTGATTGGTAATACTCTGATGCTCGGCTCTCTGACTGCCAGCAGCATAAAAGCAAAGCATGGACGTCCCTTGATTTTGGAATCTTTTCATAATTTCACAATTCATACCAGAGACAAGCACGGAATGATAAGCGATCGATTCTTTTTAGGTAAGAAGGCAAATTATCTAACATGTCTTGGTCTTTACCACCAACAATGTCCTAGTTCATATATTCTGATATCAATTTTCAGTAGATCAAAAATATTTTTTCAAATTAAAATGGCCCTTCAGAAGGATACTGCAAAAAGTGTTAAATTAGAAATCATGATCATGAAACCAAAAATTCTGATTGCTGTTTACAAAATGTTCTGTTGATTTTTTTGATAGAAGTACCATTCATTTTTTAGGTCAAGGTCGTCTGGAATGCTCGACTTCTGCATTTGTTGTATCAGATACATCGGGAATACCAATATTTTCCGCGAGCCCTCGAGAAGTTTTTATAAGAACGGAGTCTCTCCGAGTGCACGGCGAAGGGGGCACTACTGTCCAAGGAAGTGTGCAGACACCACTAGTTCGTTCGGAATCGGGAAACGCTCTTAGGTAATAGAATAAAATACATTTTACTGAAGTACAAATACAATCTGATTTCTATTAAAGACAAATTCTTAATTGAAGACAGATCTTAAGTTTTTCAAAATATTTTGCTTTATATTTTAAGGGGTTTTTATATTGCTTTTTGATCATAAGTGTCCCGGATGCAATAAAAACTAGAAATTGAAAAAATATTGATTGAATGCATATGCATACATTATCATTCATTGGTAAACCATAAAAGATTTGCTATACTGGGCGTCCATTGATTACATGAGTTACATCACATGAGTTTTTTTAGGGGTACATGTTTTTTTTTAAATCCAAACTTTTACAAATTTTTTTATAACTAAATTTACACGTGATGTTTGGAGGCGGAGGGCGATAATTTTGAATATTACCATGTATCACCAAGTCCTAAATTAGGTCCAAAAATCCTAAAAAAAATGATCACGTGATTAATAAAAGCGAATTATCAATTATGAGTAAATTTCTCCATCGTAGATAGTTATGCTTTGATATTCTAATTATTCACCGCATATTATCAATATTTATATGTTCACCTACCTGACATTTTTAATTCATATCTACAGTTTACTACAACAATTTGTATTTATTCATGATTTAACTTAAATATTTTTCTAAGATAATAAGAATATATAATTTATTATTTCATATAAAATATTTTTTCGGTGCTTTTTGAAATGAAATAGGCAGAATCGATTGTTGTAATTTAGATTTCCAAGTGGTCTGCGCTATTGGACTTACATACATCATTGTAACTGCCTAATACATCAATGACTGAGGCATGCAACTCAGCGAAGATGATTCGATTTTATCTTAAAACACGTACAACTAGAAAATATTAAATGAATGAGTTTGGAATAACCAAAATTTATAATGGAAAATGAAAAATAAAAAGATAAATTAAATTGAGCAATAAACAGTTTATTGACCAAATAGATTAGTAGCATAATTATAACTAAACTAATATTTGTTGCAAATGGCAATTTGTGGGTAGTCATATTGGAAATTGTTGAAAATATTAATGATAATATTCTGATCATAACACTTTAGTGTTTCTTTACAATTGAATTACCAATTATTAACTTCCCGTAGGGTAAGTTATAGTAAACGCAAAAAATCGAAAATGAAATTTTTTATATATTTTTACGTTTCAAAGGTTTTTGAATATTTTGGGATACCTTAGAAAAAATGGATGTATGTGTGTGTATGTGTGTGTATGTATGTATGTATGTATTGCTTAAAAAAATGTAAAGCAAATGTAAAGAAAATTCAAAATCTTCAAAATATATCAAAATACAAAAAAATCAAAATATATCAAAATACAAAAAAATCAAAATATAAAAAAAATATTTTTTTTCAAAAAAGTCAATTTTTTTCAAAAATTTCAAAATTTCTATACGGGAAGTTCCAGCAATTTGCTTTAAGGCACGATGCCATGTACCACTAGTTTAATCAAATTTTACATTTTTTTAAAATAATACATAATTATGGGAGACTCGTCTCTATATTTTATTTAAGCAATTCTGTAACCAGCAATTATTTTTTTGGTTGTGACTATATAAAAAAAATGATTCTATAAATATTTTCAGATTAGAATCATCAACACGAGGTATTAAAATTATTTCTCCAAAAGGAATCCATGTGGAATCGAAGGCTGCTGATATAAAGACTGAAAGTTTAAATGACATCACAATTAAATCTCTTGCAGGAAAGGTAAAAAAAATAATTATAATAAATGAATTATATAAATTATTATATTGGTTTTTTGGAAATTTCATGTTAGTAATCTATTAATTTCAATTTTAATTTTATTTTATAGTTATAATCATCAATTTAATAAAATGAAATAAATTTTGCACAATTTAGCATGTAGCATTAGATTATGCAGTTAATGAACATTTAATTAATAAATTAATATATAGTGAATTTCAATGTAGATATTAACACCTTTTATAATTTAGGGTTTCAGAGTCTTTTTTCAAATAATTATAATTAATTTCAGATAAAACTAGATTCTCCGAACGTACTAATGCCCAACTTAAAAATTGCATTACCTGTGCAGCAAAGTCATATTAACAACGAAAATTCTAATTCAAAAAAATATAATACCATATACCAGTTATGTTCTTGTGCAAATGGTAAATTATACTTAGCCCAATCACATGGATTGTGTATAACTGATATATCACAGGATATATGTAGATGAAAAAAATATATGCCAGGTATATTTAATATTATAACTTTGCAAAATGAGCTTTAATAACGCTTACGACTAAAAGTTTTACAATGTGATAGAAGCCTATACACGGTGGTATAACTATAGGAATTATAATAAAATATTATATAATTAACAGTGATTATTGAAGTCGTCGTTGCATATAAATATATGTATTTAAAATGCAGTTGATATAAGTTGCATCTTCAGAATATATAATAGTGCTAATTAATGTTGGAGTAACAAAATGCATTTCTATGACGACAATGATTATATATATTAAATTTTTTTTGATTTATTATAAAACAATATTTGTAAACTCGTCTGATTTAAGTTTGAGATTGTTTACTTAAACATTCCTAGTAGTTTTAAATCAGTAGAAATGTATTTGTAAATATATTTATATAAATCTTACATTATATAACAATGGGTTTGAGTTAAGCTTTACATTATTTCATTGTAATCCATAAGGCTTAGCTTATAAGCTTTTTAATATTATCTAAAACCATATGAGATAAATCCGTCTTTTATTAATTATAAGTTTTAAAATTCCTATTTTTTTTAAATCGATGGCGTAATTGTTACGATTATAGATATCGTTGTTAATAAGATTAAATTTTATTCAGTATTGTGCATTTTTCGTCTGAACCTGAATCAAGGGATTTTGGAATTCGAGTTCCATTTTTATGAAATCAAATAATGTAAAATATTTAAATATTTTTATTATTATTATTTGTATTAATACATTACTCTTTGTTAAAACTTTATTCGCTCAACCATTTTGCTATAAGTTCCAAAACACGTTTCTTGGCAGCTTTCATTTCTGCTGAATCAGCTGATGAAATTGATTGCAAATCTTGGCAATGGGAAGTTCCTGAAATATATGTAGCTTATTAGGTAAGTATTATATTCCTGTACGATATACAACTTTTTAATTTTTCTTTTGGCATAAAGAAATAATTCAAACTGATTTTATTAGTGATTTACCTTTTACTACGATCACTGGACTTTCTGGGTTGACTTCTTCCAAAAGTCCGATGGAATGCCAGGGGTCTACTGTACCGTGGGTAAATATGACCCTATCTACGGCTGAAGTTAGTGCTCCATAAACAACATTAGTCCTTTCAATGCCGGTATTTAAAATATCTTCTGCATTGTCGGCAAATCTGCAAAAATGAAAAATTAGTCAATACTAAATGATATATTTGTCCAACATTTTGATATGCGTGTCATCAATTAAAATATACATTCGAGGTAATAATTTGAAGTTCAATAATAAATTCAAATCAGTATACTGAATAAATATATTTATTTTAACGTAAATTAATATATTTAGGCTATTTTTAGTTGAAATCATAGATAAACCTACAACCACATATCTTTATCAATATCAATCAAATAAAATCATAAATTCTAATATCGATATAATTGGGTTTTTTTTCAATCTAGTTTATTAACTTGATAGATGTAGTTTTCAAATGAGAGAAACTGTGAAATTTTTTAAATCACTGAAATAATACGGTTTACGAGGTTAAACTGATTTGCAAAGATTCTGAACTAAATCTCATTTTCACATAATAAAATAAACAGTATTAATAACAGTAGTTTTCACATAAGTTAATATATGTAAAATTTGAAACATTTGAATTATTTATAGTATCAGAATGCCAACCTGAAATATTTAATCAATGAGCATTTACTGTGATGAATTTCATACTTATTTTAACATTACTTACACATCTTCAAATATATCTTTACATATTTGGATGTTAAAGTGCAAAGTATTAATACCAGATCCATAAGGCTGGCTAGGAGAGGAATCAGTCTGGTAGTATCCGTATTCCGTGCAAGTTTGGTAGAGCCATGGACGCACTAAAATATTATTTAACATCCTGATTTACGTTATTGATTTATGGAATATAAAAGTAATAAATTTTACTCACTGCCGTCTGTAGCATTCAAGCTGCTCCAACTAACTTGTTTAAAGGCGTTGACCAGAGATAAATAGTCTGCTTCAGCGCATTCGAACTTTCCCATCCAACATTGGATT